AGATAGTTTATTGCCTTCTGAACAAGAGAAAGTTGGTTTAGAGCAGTACTTAGTGTGAAGAGGTTTATTTTCAGAAGTCTCTAATATTTATTACAACATGGCAACTTCTCTGTAAACACACCTTGGTATAATTTAAGGAAAAAAGAAGAGTTGAAGAGAAAATAGTAACTATATTTAAAGAATATTTTATCATAAGTTTTGACAGTTTTCAAACAAATCTTCAGTCATATTAAAATTAATTTTCTTGGATTTTTTTTCAGCAACTGCAGCCAAAAATGATGTATGTTTACAGTCATCTGAACATTTATAAAGAGGTTTGAAACACTTAATTATAAGGAGTGAATTATGGTATCAGTCCTTGATTTATGGCTGTAATGTTAACTAATTAGAAATGTAAAGTGTTCCAGTTCATTTACATTCATCTTTCATTAACTGGCTTTTAAGAAGTGATGAGAAATTGCAACTTTTAAAGAAATTTATTTAGCCTGCCAACTATTTTTTTTCTGCTTTCCAAAAATACATTATTTCCTTGTTAATATATGTGTAAGAGTTTTATATGCATCAATAACATAGTCTGAAGTTGAATTTTAGCACCAAGTTCTCTTTGAAGAAGAATAATAGCTTTTGTAAGCAAAAAAATTGTGTTTCTTTGGTTATTGAACATCAGGAGCTGTCATGGAGCTGGTTCTCATCCCCAGTCTCCTTTTTCCCTAAACTCCAAAATCTGTTTTCCTTGTGACGTCTTTGAGAAAGAGTTTAATACAAGCATCTAGACTGTCAATTATTTATAACCACTCATCAGAAAGTGGTTATAAACATCATTATTTGTTATATTTTAAACAAAATTGAGGTTCATGGTGTTGGGATGAGGTGCAACTGGCACAAGAGGATTTTGAGAAAATTCTGCATATTGGGAAGGAAAAAAGTCACTCATGATCACCCATGAAGTTGATCAGGCATTCAAACAGTAGGCAGAGAGGTTGGGAAAATCTCCTAAGATGGAATTCTGATCTTGACTGGGTGAATCCTTGAGCAACCTGGCTTGATGTTAAAGTGGTGTGTGTTTTAAAGAGGCATTTAAAGTATAACCTTCAGGAGTTCATTCCAACCTAAATTACTCTGTAATTCTGAATTGTCATTAACAGATATCCTGAACAAATATTTAATAATATTTAAGACTAGAAATGAATCATAAATAAAAAGTTTTATGGGATATAGTTGAAAAATTATTGAGTACAACTGAGTGACTTTTATTTTTCATGAGCCAAGTTTTGATCATCATAAATATTTCTCCTTATTTACAAATACCACAGAAGAATATTCCCTTTTTCCAGTTCAAAGTGAGGAAATCTGGCTTGGGTTAATTATGCATCCTCTGTGCTACACAATTTATTATTTAAAATCTAAATAGTATTTGTATGCAGTCTGTAAAGAAGTTCCTGAATTTATTCATGGAGTACAACATATCTGCCTGAGAAAATGTTGAGTTGGGTTTCAGGGTTTAGACATACTGGAGATATTTGATCTGTAGGTTGTTCATCTTCAAGGCTCAAAAAGTATGGAAGAATGCACAGAATCCCAGGATGGTCAGGCTGGAAGGGACCACAGAGGTCACCTGGTCCCAGCTCCCTGCTCAGGCAGAGCAGAGGGCACAGGGTTGTGTCCAGATGGCTCTGGAATATCTCCAGTGAGGAGACTCCACAGCCTCTCTGCACAATCTCTTCAGGGCTCTCAGTGAAGAAATTCTTCCTCATGTTCAGGTGGAACTCCCTGGGCTCAGTCCCTGCCCCTTCCTCTGGTGCCATTGCTGGGCCCTGGAGCAGAGCCTGGGCCCTGCTCTGACCCTCCCTGCACCCAGGGACACCCAGGGATACCCAGGGCTGAGGCCCCCTCTCATCTGGGGCTTCTCTCCAGGCTGAACAGCCCCAGCTCCCTCAGCCTCTCCTGGGCAGGGAGGTGCTTCAATCCCTTCATCACCTTTGCAGCTCTCACTGGCCCCACTCCAGGAGCTCCAAGTCTTTCCTGTCCTGAGGAGCCCAGAACTGGACAGGGTTCTCCAAATGTGGCCTCACAAGGCTGAGCAGAGGGGCAGGATCCCCTCCCTGCACTGCTTGAAATGCTCTACCTAAAGCACCCCAGGATGCACTGCTGGCTCAGGGACAGCTCATTGTCCACAAGGACACCCAGGTCCTTCTCCCCAGAGCTGCTCCATCAGGTCACCCCCAGCTGTGCAGGTCCACAGGTGCAGGATGCTGCATTTGCATATGCAAATAGATCTGCCCATGCATCTTTCCATGCCAGGTAGGTTTTGGGTCTCACAGAAGACTTGAGTGCAGGGTCTTCAAATCTAAGGGGAAAATTGTGATTCATGACTTGCTGAGAGGTGTAAGATCTGTCTGAAAGTTTCTGTGTCGGTAAGAGAACCTTACACCTATGGCTGGGAGGAAGAGGAGGGAAAGGGAAGCATTTCTGGGAGGATTGGTTAGGGATCTGAAACAAAGAGCTTTGAAACAGATTTGAAACATTCTTTTCAATATTTTTTCGTGCTAATTCCATAAGTGGCTTATATAGTTCATTTGGTGTAATCATAGCCCTGCTACTGCCATGTGAATTATGAGGTCGTGAAAATGAATTTATACAGCTGATTTCTGAAAATCCCAAGCATTACCCTTTGGCTCAAAAGCACCATTACATAAATATGCACAGGCCTAACTCTTGGAGAACTAATTTCTAATTTAGGTGCTTGTAAAACTGCTCTGCTTACTGCTGTGAAACACAGACCCCAGAAGATACATGTGAGACATTATTCACATTCTGGCCAATGCAGCATTTTTTCTGCTAAGTCAGCAGTTCCTGGAGCTGGAACAATACGTTATCTGGTTAAAATTCTTCTATTTGTCCTTTTATTAAAGAATGGATTTTCATAAATTCCTTGTGTTTATTACTATTTAACTGCTGAGGAGTCAGTGAAGTTACAGATTTCTCAGAGGCTCCTTTCTCTGTATTAAGAGTGAGAGTTATGGGGTCTGTGTGTGAACTGGAAGTTTTGTTGAGAAATAAGATCTTTTCTAAGAGCCTTGTCCAGCTGAAACTAAGAAAATATTAAAGTAAAGTTTGTCTTTAGGTTTGAATAAATCCATTTGAGCATTTTCTGATTAATAATAAACAGATACAATTTTTGGTGCAAAAGGCACATGTTGGTCATGTGTCATGTTCCTAAATTTTAATGTACATTTTGATACACTGTATTGGTTTTGTTGTTTTTTTTTTTTATTTTCAAATTACTTGTATTGTTTGGCTTGCACTTGCTGATTGCTCTTGGATATTAAAAGAAATGGACTAATGATAAAGTTATCCGAACAATCTGAAAATTAAAATGGCTCATTAACAAATTTTATGTGCTTTAAAATAGATGTGATTATTAGAAATCAGAATGCTTTTACATTTTTCTTTCCTATTTCATGATTTTCTTTTTTAAAGCTCAAATAACAAGTGCACAGCTTACAGGGCATTTTTAGTCCATATGCAATTAGGAGACTTCTTTGCATGATTTCAACAAAAGGTTCCTGAATTACACCATGTTGTAAATGTGCCTGGCAGTAAGAGCAGGTGATTATTGCTTTTGTATTTCTTACCTTGAACTGCAAGAGGAGAAAAGCAGGTCAAAATATAATCCAGCAGTGACTCAGAACTCATAACTTCACATGGTGTTTTACTGTGAGAAGAGTAGAATCAATGTGGTTTAAACCTATTTGATATTTAGTAATAAGTTTGATAGATACAGTACACAAGTGTTCAGTAGTGATTGTAATTTAGGAATTAACCTTTCTTTATTAGAAAAGAGTCTTTGAAAATCAATTCTTTTTCTAGTAGAATAAAGATATTTTGCTAACCAGTAGACTGAAGATATTTCCAGACTGTCTTTCATATAGTGCTCCCTTTTTAGTTAACTAATCCAGCACTTTTTTCCTGACTAAAAACCAAAAAAAGCTGTTAAAAGATGGTCTGCAGAATGGAAGTCAGAGATTTAGTATTTTTGTGTGTCATTATCTAGTAATGATTTCCTAACAGTCTTAACTTCCTCAATTTTTTAAATTCATGAAATATTAAGGCACTATAGTAACATTTCAGCAGTGTAGGCTGCTTATTAAAATAATCAAAATAAAATTATTAAAGGAGAGCATCCCACTCTATCTTCAGGAATAAAAAACCTTTACCTTGGACATATGAATGTCATGAAGAGCCAAGAAATTTTCAGAATATTTGTGGAGAAATAATACTGCTTTAGCATGGAATGGTTTGGGTGACACCTTCCACTATCTCACATTGCTCCAAGCATTGTCCAACCTGGCTTTGGAGACTTCCAGGGATCCAGGGGCAACCACAGCTTCTCTGGGTTACAAGGTTATGAATTTTTATATAAACATATGTGTGTATATAGAGATATTTATATACATACATATATATAACATACAGACATATATACAAACATATATATATATATGTATGTGTATGTATTTTTTTTAAAGGTGTATATATGTTTCTCTAATATTTTCTTTTTCAGGAATTTGGTAGATAATTGCTCCAGGAAAGTTTTGATAATCCTTGCGATCCCTTCTAACCTGGTATTCTATGATAAATTATTTATAGGAAAGACTAAAAACTCTTCCACTGTTGCAGGTTGCTTCAAACCCTGTCCAGCCTGGCCTTGGACACTTCCAGGGATCCAGGGGCAGCCACAGCTTGTCTGGGTAACAAGGTTGTGAATATATATTTATATATATACATATACATACATATATATGTATTTCTCTAATACTTTTCAGGAATTTGGTAGATAATTGCTCCAAGAAGGTTTTGATAATCCTTACAATCCCTTCCAACCTGGTATTCTACGATAAATTATTTATAGGAAAGACTAAAAAAACCTCTCCAAAGGCACTGAAAATGCCAAAGACCTGCGACTGCTCACCGTTTTCCCATTTTTCTTTTCCTTCCAGAACAAGATCATCCTGGACCCGATGACGTTCAGCGAGGCGCGGTTCCGGCCGTCGCTGGAGGAGCGGCTGGAGAGCATCATCAGCGGGGCGGCGCTCATGGCCGACTCCTCGTGCACGCGCGACGACCGCCGCGAGCGCATCGTGGCCGAGTGCAACGCCGTGCGCCAGGCCCTGCAGGACCTGCTCTCCGAGTACATGAACAACGTAAGTAACAACGGCTTTAATGGATCTCAGATGTTGTAACGTGGCTTTGTGCCGAGCTGTTTGAGTTGCTGAAGTTTTTAATGCCTTGCAAAGGTTTGATAGGAGTTGGGTACGATCAGAAGCTCACGGGGGGTGGTGTTGTACCTGCCAAGGCACTCGGCGCTCCCCTTGAATTTGGCATTGAAGTTTCTTCTGATGTGATAACTAGCAGTTCTTTTGGAAGTAGAACGCTTTTTAAAATGAAAACAATGGTGAGTAATCTCAATGTGAAATGACCCAAGAATTATTTTCTTATTGAAGATGAATATGGGTAATTTTCAGCATGCTTGCCCCTGTGGGATGGTCATTGTGTTTGGTTTTTAGGATGTTACCCATAGATATTTGCAAGAGGTTGACTTTTTGGTGTGTGGATTAAATCACTGAAGGTTTCATTTTCTGATGGAGCTATGGATTACTCAGTTGCCATGAAAGTAGGGGGTTCAGCACTAGTGATGTTCACACAATCTTACAAACAACTCTCTGGGTAGGTTTCTAGAGCTGTTGAATTCTTCGATGAGGTGTGAACTGGCAGTGCATAACCTTTGTTCTGCACAAACAGAACTTGTCGCAGAAAATTCTCTCCACCCAATGTTCTGTATTAAAACTCAGATGTTCTATTGCCATGTCCTTTTGAGGATGTGGGAAAAAGACCAAAGCAACATCAAAAACCTGTTTTAAAATTAAAATATTTGCCAAGAGGTGTCAAACTGAGCATCCTCTGCTGTTTCTTTTGTTGCTCTCAAAGTATCAGATGACACATTTTGATCCCATTTTGCTGGAATCATCATCAAAATAATGCTGAAGAGGGTGTTCAAGGATAGACCTTTAACGTTGTTATTTTCATTGGTACTGTTACAGAGTGTTGGAATTCAGTATCAATAGTGCAAACTTCAGTCCTTTAGTCACTTCATTTTACAGTTCAGGCTTAAATGTTGCTTTTCAAAGGTACTGTTCATGTAACAGAGTCACCTCAAGGAATAGCTGTTTGACTGAATTGAAAAGCATTGTTTGCCTCTTAGTTTTTTGAAACGATGTTTGACAGGTTCTCGTGAAAGCTTGAATGAATTTGAAGTTTTGCTGCTGTGTTAGGGGTTAGAAGTTAGAATAGAGATCACTAAATATCAGGTGTTGAGGCTGTGGTGGAAAAGAACTTGCTGGGTTTCTTCCTACAAAATCTTGCTTTGTAGAAGCAATACTGGTCTAGTCCTTAAATGTCTTTTGAAAAAAACTTTAAGAATTGATGAGTGGTGGCTTCTCATTTTATTGTGGTGCCTCTTTTTCAGTACACAGAGTTTTGGTAATGGTGCAATTTGCCCCTGGATGAGAAACATTCTTATTTTGTTCCTGACTGCATTTACAGAGGGAGGAAACTTTTAAATTCCTGCAGGCATTTATGATCACTCTGAAGGTTACTAAAATTGTTTCATAATTTTTACTTAAACACAAAGTGGTGTGAGCAGCTGCTTTTATGGTTTCCACAGTATGGTTGTTGAAACAGTCTTTTTTTTTTTCCTTTTTTGTGCCCTTCGTCATCTGAGTTGCGCAATCCCTGTAATTTATTTATTTTTCTGCCTTATACTGAAATGTAGTCAACTTAAGTAAGATTTTTTTTATACCTATTGAGCAAACATTATAAAAACTGAATATATACTTAATTTACATAAAATGCAGTACTTCTGACTTTAACAGCTCTGGTGTGGTAGAATTTGACAACAATAGTTTCCAAACCGATGTTAGCAGTTACTAGGAATGGGATTAAGATTAGATATTGCTATGCCTAAATTTAATTTTTTTGTACATAGGGACAGGTAAAGTAGGGAGTGTCAATTCAGTTCTTTAGGGGTGGATGCCATTTTTAGATACCAGGTGTAAAAATTCCAATGCTTGTTTGAGCATTGACTCCTCAATCTGCCCCTCCAAGGAATTTGAATCCATGGGCCAGTTTGTAGCTGCCAGCCAACTTCCATATCATGTATGCTCTAGGAATGGACAAATTGCCAGACTCCTTCCTTCCTTCATTAAATCATTTGAGTCTCCATTGCCCAAGCTCCAGTTATAATTGTCAGAGACTGGATCAATACTGGGGATCAGATCAATACAGCCAACAGAGCCTGAAGAGCCATTGAGATGACAACTGTTATAATCTAATATGGTCAGGGGGTAAGTTAAATATCTCTAGACTTCTCTGATATATTAATTAAATCCCCAGAGCCAGGGCAGAAAATCAGATCCTGAGCTTGTAGGCCGCTTCTTATTATCGAAGGGTTGGATTTCATCCATTCTGCCATGGCAGAATTTGCTTTGGTACTAAACCTATTTCCTTGAAACCTGTGGATTGTTTTCCTTGGGTTCTCAAAAGTATGTGTAGTACAACAAAAGATCTCACTTGGAAAGTTTCTTGAGTTTCAAAAGTGTAAAAGTGAATGGGACACACCAAACATGACACAGTCCTAAGTCAGATCAAGGTTGATTTTGCAGAGATGCACATCTTTAACATCTTTTGCCTGTGTGGCTTTAAACCACTGCAATCTTAAAATCTGCTCTTGCTTTAGAGATTGTGAAATAATTCAGTCATTCATGTTTTGGGGGTTCTTCTGTTTGATGATAGCTGAAAAATGATGATTTCTTTGGGATGAGTGTTGATCAAATGAGTATCCAGCAAAATAAATACTTTGTGGTGATATTTAAAGGATGCAGACGATGAAGGGCAGGGTGTTGGCAATGTGCTGTTCAGTCCTTCTACAGTTTAAAATAGTTCCTTTTCATTCATCTACTTCTATGATTTGGGCTCAGAGGGGTGCTTCTTACAAATCTTCAAGAGCTGAAGGAAAGGGCTATGAGTTGAAGAAAAAGTAGATACTTTCAAAATTCTGGCATCCAAAACAAAATCTGAAAAGAAAGAGTTGGTAGAAAGGAGGAGAGGGGAGATTTTGACTTAGGTAAGTGAAAATGGTGCTGCTTCTGCAGTTGTATTATTTAGTGTTATAAAAGATGTGTTTAGGTTTCTGCTTCCTTCTCAGATAAATGTTGACTTGCTCCATTTCCTACCTGTCAAATAATGGTTTTAATTAGTCCCTAGGCTCTTAATGAATTCTATGAATAATTATATATTTGTATAGTTACTGCATTGACCAGTCTCACAGTACCTAAACCCTCTGCAAGGGAGATCCCTGGGAGTTCTCTGGCAGAACTTCTATGGAGATGAGATGTAAACTGCTTCATAATTCTTTGTATATCCAGAAATATGCATACTCTTCATTTGCCTTATCAGTAACTTTGACAAAATCTTTTCCCAGCTTATTTATTATTTATTTTAATAAATCTATTATTTCTCTCATGAACTCAACTAAATTTTAGAATCTGTTACTTTTGGGAAGCAAAGGCAAGAGAGTTCTCCGTTTGGTGTGTTATATGACTTTTTTTTTGCCAGGGTCTCAGAGAAATTCGATAGGGTATTTTTCAGCTTCTTATGTAAATGTGATAAGTCCCATAATTTATTTTGAAATAAAATTACATTTCTAGACTTCTGTCCTACAGAGAAGACCTAAATGCAGCTCCACAGAAGCTCTTAATGCAATTGTTTTCCATTTGTCTAAATGAAAGCCTTATTTAACGGATGGTTAGCTCTGATTGGGGTCTAGTTTCCTGCTGCTTTTCTCTCCTGGATCCTTCATGATTTATATTGCAGGCTGTCAGGGAGCAAAAATACCAGGAACCTGGGAGTTCCAGCTCTTAAACTCCTGGCTCAGAAATGCACTGCCAAACTCAACCCAATGCTGGGCACCCTTTCTAGCAAGACTCTGGGTGCTGCTGGGTTGATGTCAGATTAACATAAGAAAGGGAGGAAATTATATCTTTAGAAATACATGCTTTAAAAAGAATGCTTTGAATTCCCTCTGACATCATCAAGTCAGTGCCAGAGATAGACTGAATGTTGTGTTGCTGGGGTGTATCAATGATAAATTTGGAAAGCAGTTGACAAGTGAGTAAGCCATGAGTGTTAAAGACCTCTGTAATCACTCCAGTACTGGCTTGGCATTAATTCAAATCTGCATTTGAAAAGGCATTTCCCAGCTGGTTCAAATATGATTTTCTCCTCTAAAGCCTTTGGGCTCATTATTAAGCCAACTTGCATTCCCCTGCCTTGCTTTCCTTCTTATCCAGTGCTCCTGCTCCCAGTCCCTGCTGACATTCCAGAGGAGCTTTTCTTTTAATTATAATTGGTTTTTTGGAACAGATAATATTTCTGTGTGTCTGACTGGTATGATCAGTCCTTAATAGAGTCTTGTATTACTACTGATGATTTTATGTTTAGATGTGAGGATCACATCTGAGAACTAGATTTCCCAGAGAGGCTGTGGAATGTCCCTCACTGGAAATATTCCTGAACCATCTGGATGCAGTCCTGTGTAATGTGCTCTAGGAAGACCCTACTTTACCATGGGGGTAATGCTTGCTCTTTGAAATTTTACTCTCCAAAGTTACTACTTGTCCTTGATACCTGCTTACTCCTAAGTTGCTATAAAAATTTGTGTTTCTTATGAAGAAGAAAATGTTATTTCCTGAAACAACAAAACAGCAGAAAAACAAATGAGAAAACACAAGGCTGCTGGCAGCTTCTCTTCACAAATATATCAGTAAAAAAATTGGAATGGCTCAAAGGAAAAACAGAGTGCTGCAGTACATGAAGATGAAATGTCCTTAGCAGACAGCTGGTTATTGTGCTTGATTGGAGAACGAAAAACATGATAGCAACTGAAAAATCTATAAACTCTCAAGATACTGCCAGCTGTCACATTTAACAGCTTCATCTCAATTCATATTTAAGATCAGCAATAATTGGTGCGTACATTTCAGCTCTGGAGCTGACTTGCATGAGGTTAATCTGGGGGTGACAGTGAGCAGTAAATTACAGTTAAGAGACAGAGGAATGTCCAGAGCTGTCCTGAGATGAGGAATCA